AATTAAAGCCTCGCAGAACCTTTGCTGGAATAAATATGATGTTCAAACAGCATATTGCTGCCAAATGGACCAATCAGTTGTTGTGTTCTGCATCATAAAGACGTATAATTATATTTCTGAGTAGGTGAACATCTGTGATCAGATGCAGATATTTTAGCCTGATCAGCTGTTCATTGGTTTTGACCGATCAGCTATCCCAGAGTGTCTCTGCTTAAATACCTTACCTGTGCAGTCCCATATGAAGGTGTGCTAGGTAGAGTTAAAAATATGATATATTGTTTGACCTCACAGGCATAATGTACTCTGTGACCAATAATCACTCTGCTATGAGTGAGTTTGCATATTGTCAGCATTGTACACTCACACTAATGATGTCATGGTTTTCTACTGATCAGCAGCTGGTAGTGAAAATGTGCTAAGAAGAGTAGGAGTTTTCCACCATAGCCAGAAAGAAAGAAAGAAGCTAGCAAAGGGAACTAAACACTGATCTGAATCATATTACGCCACCAGCAGCACTCAGTCTGTAGAAAATCTGTTTGTTTGTTTGTTTGTTTTAAACAACTGCATTAAAATGCTAGAAAAGTCTGTTTCATCTACGATTGATTCACTTTTTTATTAAATATACACGTCTTTTGAGAGATTTTGTAGAGAAATACATTTAATTCTCAAAAACGGGGATTGACAGTGGCTTGGCAACAGCAGCCTTCACACTTGGAGTTCTCTTTCGTTTCCCAACCAAAACACTGGAGAGATGTCTTTCTCCCATACCCACTAGAGATCCAGTGCAGGTGCAGGGCAGCACTTGTTCAATGGAAACTCTCTTGTCGCAGACAGCCTGTGTCAGTATTTTTCCCCCATTAGCAAGCCAGATGGACACACACACACACACGCACGCGCAATCTCACTAACACACACACCGACAAGGCAGACAACTGGCCACGCGAAGTGATTTAAGGCAAGTATTATCAGAGTGTTATAGGTCATTGTCTAAATGAAGCGTGGTCGAACAGTGGCGGTCTCATTTCCACCACCTGACCTTTTCGTGCTAGATGCTGGCAGGATGAGCAAGCTACATAGCTGACATTAATGACCCGCTCCCTCTCTTCTTTCTCTGTTTCTCTCCTTGTGTGATCATGATTTTATCACTCTTTTTTCTGCTCTCTAGCTGCGTTTCAATCCTGTTGTTCAGCAAATTCTAGAGTGAACTTGTGAAACATAAATTGGGCATTTTCTGTCAAAGAAGTTGGCTTTCTGAGTTGCTGAACAGCGTTATACTGAAGGAATAGTTTTCTATAGTGATTAAAATTCGTTGGTCAGAAAATTGAATTGCTTTAAAACTGAAAGTCACCCGATGATGATAGCTGTGGTTGCAAAAATGCTTTTGGGCCTATAGAGGTTTACGGGAAAACAGATTTCTGTCTTCACTTCTGGAAACAACTCTTCTGTTCATTGGCTCAGTCACTCGTTTTGGGCCATATCGGTATGAAACTGCACGTTTATTGGCTAATGAGTTGTCATTAACCAACAAGCATGTGGATCCACAGTCAAACACTCCTTCTCGTCACACCCGGTTTTTTGCAGCCACAATGGCGACCACAGAAATGCTCATCTCAAAGCTTCAAACAGGAATTTGGAAACAATGGGGGACGTCACAGTAGCTGCGTCCATCTTTTACACGGTATGTGACATTTACACTTTATCCTTTACGTTTGTACATTTGTTTAAATAAAAAATTGCTTAATTTTAACTTTATTTTAAAATATAAACTTGCTGCTGCTATTTCAGTTGATAGCTACATCCGGTAGATTTGGCTTCCAAATGTTTACATTTCACCAATCTTTTTTTTTTTATATGTACTTGGACTCATTGGTACAATTGCGTGTCTTAAATAACCTCTTTTATGAACTCTGTTTTACCAGCCAAGCTAACAGGTGCTGCATGTAGGACAGGTTGTAACTTGTAGATGACTAGCATGCTAGCAGTTAGTTTCATGCTCATTTTTTTTTTTAATTTGACCTTTTTAATAGAAAAGTATGTGTCAGTATAGGTTACAGATATTTAGGACGCCATGCAAACACCAGGCTAATCTACTTTCTTGTCCTTTTTAAAAAAGAAATATTTCAAAACTTTTAGATTATCATATTTAAAAAAAAGATTTCATTTATTAATCTTTGTTTGTTTTTGAATTTTTAACTGTGTCCATTGTTTGTATGGTTGTGATTCAGTTATGATGCAAAAAGTCACTTATAGCACATCAACACATTATTATCCCTACAGCCTAAAGATGGAAAAGTCATGCACATCAGGAGGCAAATTTAATTGGTTGATCAGCCATGTCACGCCCTTAGGCAGGACCCCATTACTCTAGTAATAGTCTGTCTACATGACTGGACCCAGATTGGGTCCAGTCCCAATCTTCATGACAATGTAGACTGGGACATTGGAATCTTGTCATCTACACCGGGTCCAATTCAATTCCAGATCTATTCCAATGGCAAATCACAAACACTTGCAATAGTTCTCTTAAGTTAGTAACGTATGCTATCTGCACAATAGAGCTATATCAGCATTTTAAAAGGTAAGATGTTAAAAAAAGACTATATAACTAGCTAATACAAACATTATAGTGGATTATAGATGTAGATGTTAGACATGCTAATTGACGCCAGATTAAGCTAGCAACACATAATTAGTTGCTCCAAGTTACTTTTAAATGCAAATTATTTTTTAACCATAGCTTTTTGCTGAGTTGACCAAATTTAATATTAGCCAGTACGGCATGTGTAATATGATGGCATGTGTTTGTCTGGTCAGCTGATAAAACGATAACTGCACAACAGTCGTGGAAACAAGCAGCGGTTTTTGTGATATATAGTTATAAATAAAAGACTTTTATTTGAGACGTCTTGTAAACACTGTTTTTAGGCTTCGTGGTCTTGTTGACAGTTACCTGTATTGTATTTCTGCTCTGCCAACAGAACGTCGAGGAACCAAATGAGACTGAAGACACAAGGTAAGTTTAAAATATGACAGCGGCTCTAAGAAAATATTACATAGAGGCTAAATAAATATGTGTGTTGGCATACTAATACTGTATTACAGGGTAATAAAAAAAATCATCTCCTAATGCATTTACCTGGCTAAGCTTACACAGGCATGTCTAACATTTACTGTCTTTTTCTCTCTGCTATCTCTCTCCGCTCAGGAACCACAGGAGGATTCAGCCTGAAGACTCTGCAGTGAGACGGCGCCCTGACCCTGAGATTCATCTCCAAGAGTTTTTCAAGCTTTACCCGCTTCTTCTTTTTAATAAACCAAACATTATGCTTCCCAGTGGTCTGGTTTTTTTTCTAAGGGAAAAAAGAAGTTCTGATGCAGTGCTTGTACATAATTCATTTACAGATTTGTTGTTGTCTTAATCCATAGCTAAGATTGTTCTTCCTAAATTAAGCCAACCGTTTTTCTCCTCTGTGTCGGTGGGATAGCTGCACATGTATACTGTTAACTCTGAGTGAGTGGAGCGTCCCCATGCAGCACAGCACTAACAGGAAGACTGTATATGAGGATAACAGCAGGGAAAGACACAAACTGTGTAACATGCTATTCATTTTGCCTGGTTTATTAGACATGTAAATAATTAATTCGCTGTGATAACTAATTGCACAGTAAAAAAACTAAACTAGCATAAATGAAATGTGTTTATATGTCAAAGGCTGGCTGTTAGAAAGTCCAAAAGGAAAAACAAAGTCCGACAGGAGAAATAAAGCTGGAAAAATACTGACGCATGGAACGACGAGGAAATGCATGAGAGATGTATATAAACACTCTGACAAGGACTAAGGGGGAGACAGCACTGTATATACAAAAAAGGAAAAACAAGACACAGCTAAATAGAATCAGAAAACTAGATGAAGAGGAAGTAGAACTATCAAAATAAAGCAGGAAGTAACATGGCAGATAAAAAAAATCTACCACAGAGATTTGACAAAATATGGTTAACTTAGCATTAAACTTATGATTAATTATAACCCATGAATCTACATAGAAACTAGTGTTCCAAAACATCTAGAAGTACTACAAGATTACTCAGAGAAATATACAGAAAATCAAATCCAGACCTTAATCAAAACTAGAAATGGAATTGAAACAAAAAACAAATGAATCTAAAAAGTCTAAAATCAGATTTAAAAAAACTAAACTAAGGACTGAGAACAACAAAACTGCTAGACTGTGACAAATTATGTATATCCACCCTAAAATGCCTTCATGTTTTCCCATTTAGAAGCAGAATTTGCACCAGCAGGACAAAGAAATTCTGCGATTTTCTCTTTGAATAGCTTTTACAGCTGATTCTGAAACTGTTATCAACCGTTATCTGCCACCACCTGTTTCACAGAAAACAAAACAATAAACGTGGGCTATTACTTTGTTAAGCGAGTTAATTTTCATTTCTTTTAATAAGTTATACACAAAAGGTGTGACTTATTTCAAGCACTTTATTACTTAATCTTTTGTCCTAGGCAGTCTTATTTCTAGTGACGCAAAATTCCTCTGTTCTTTCAATAATCTGTTGGGTCTACTTTTAGAGTAAAGCAGAGCGTTTAAACCGCCACGTTTGTTTGCTCTTATATCAACTGCTGATAGCAAGAATGTTGACTTTGATTCCCATTTATATGAAAATGTCAGAGATAATTGCTTCAACATTTTCATTTCAGATTCTTAATCAAGTGTTTGAAAGCAATAAGCATCAATATATGGGTGTTTTTCCATGCATCTAGTGTATATGCATACATATTTGAATGATCTGCTACAAATGCCACATCTTCCCAATATTGTGCTCAGTATAATAAATCTTAAAAGCTGCGGGAGTTTAATGTCTCTTCTACTCATTGCATCACCAGAGGAGCAAACAGAGTACCAATAAAGCAGTGAAAACCAATAATGAGTCAATAATATATGCTCAGTGAGATATTAGTCAGCCTATTCCTCTCTCCCTGCAGACTGCGGAGCTCTGCCGTGTTTGTCTTCTGCGGCTGATGCTAATGATGATGATGGGGGCAATGGTGGCGAGGACGCCAACAACGCCCATCCCTTCTACCCAGGCCTGCAGTTCTGCGCCAGCCGGTACACAGACCGAATATATCTTTACTCCAAGGTACCGCCGCCTGTCTGTTTGATTGTGCATATTTGATCATAGACTGAGCTCATAAGGGAACCAGAGAATTTTTTTCTAGTGTGTTTTCACAATAATTCTTGTTCCTCTCAAGGTTGTGCCATTACAGGAAACGTTGCACCTGCCTATATTGTCCATCTGTGCCAAAGAATTACTCTGAGCTTAAATGCAAGTCAGTGTTTAACTCACAGTGAGATTCAGTCGTTTTGTGTTTTCTGCCACTCTGTGCTGCACACCTTGTCTTTTATTTTAGGTTCTCTAAGGGCCAGAAACAAATTGGTGTGATAGCACAACGGCAAAAAAAAAAACAGTGGTGGAAATTCAGCAGTTGATGTACTAATTGTTTGCTTATGAACCAGTGATGGCAAAGGGAATCTACCAAGAGGGCTGCCAGTAAGGGGTCAAGTGGTTTCACTGGATGAAACACCATGGCAATTCAGGTCCATGGGATGGAGCAGAAGGAGATTTGGCTTGTTCTGATATGAGGGCAAATTCTTCTCTTAGAAACTGAAGGGGACTTGATTGGAGGTTGGGGCATCAGTTATGTGGATAATTCTCAGAGCTCAGGTGGAGTGCAGGATTCATCCAGATATTGAAAATGGCTGGACAAAGCTGGACTGCACAGATGCACAGATCATGGCAGTGCAGGAAAAAGCTCCAAGCACAAGATATACTACACTACGGCAAGACCCAAGGTGCAGTTTGTGCAGAGATGCTCCGGAAATAATTCAGCACATTACAGAAGGGTGCAAGACGCTGGCAGGCAGGGCACACAGTACATGGAGCATCATAGCCAAGTAGCGGCTTGCGCATAGGATACAGGAAGATCTGTGCCCCCTAGGGTGGTCCTGTGGGACTTCCAGAGTCAGAAGGTCAAACTGGTGATGCCTAACCAATTGGACATAGTAGTGGTGGCCAAACAGAGGAAGAAGACAATCACTGTTGTTGCTGAACAACAGGATCTTGCCAAGTTTAACAATGACTCCCACCTGTGCTGTGTTCCAACACGGTGCCAGTCCAAACTGCTGCTGGAGTACAGGAAGGCATGTTCGGAGGCAGCTATAAAAGTAATGGAAGGAGTGTAAAGGTGAGAATAGGGACACCAAACAAAGGGACTGAAGATGAAGGGTAAAAGAAGAGAGCGGCCTGATATGCATGGATGCAGGGAAGGAGGGCATGCAGAAAGTTGGTGTGACTGAAGGAGATGTGAGGGCAGGGTGGAGGCAGATGATCCACTATGGTGACCCTAACACACACAACCCCAAAGAAGAAGAACCCAAGCGAGTTACTATCTGACCCACAGCTGCCTGTGAGCAGCTGGTTCATTTCTTTTGGTGATTCTGAACAAGATCATAAGACATTATTCTAACACTGACTTAATTAATACCTGTATTCTGACAGACATTTCTCGATGTTTTGCAGTAAATCCATAAGTTTCAAGTATTAAAAAAGCAAGTTACTTGACAGTTGACTTGTGATATTGCACAGCTCTGTGTGAACTGTGGAAGAGTTGTAGCTAAGAGTTTAATTATAACTCTTTTTCAAACATGTTTTTGCCAGCTTCTATTATTTCATGAGCCTTTTCATACTGGGACAGGATTTTCCCTGGATCTGTCGTGCACATAAGTGAATTCAACTTGAATTTTCAAATACAACACATTGTCGTGTTGTGACGGTGACAGGTTGTGACTGGCTAACTAAATTGCAGCAGAAAATAAAAATATTTTCCTGCCACAAACAAAAGTACAAATAACAGGCAAAGCACCACGTTATGTTTCTGTTATGTTTCTGTTAGGTTTTTGTTATGTTTTTGTTATGTTTTTGTTTTTTGCGTGCACAACAGTTTGGGTAGTTTAGTTAGTAGCTTAATAACCCACATCATGATTTTCAGCTGCGTTCCTCCCCTGCGCAGTACTTGTTGGCTGATAAATACTCTTATAACACTTTGTCTTATATTTTTCTATAAGACAAAGCTTTTAAAAAATGCTTCTTTTTCTTGTGCCGCATTAAATGTGAGGAGACGGCAGCTCCTCTTACTCTAAGTGAAAGTCAGACGTGTGGTGTAATATCCTCCATTTCAATTCTTGCAACAAAAAAAGTACACATAAAGGTGTGATGTCCACTTAATGTTTTCTTTTATATCCTCATGTTCTAGTGAAATTTACCTGATTCCATGTTCAAGATCTGCTCAGGTTTGAGCTGCAGATAATCGTTTTTAATCATTTAATCTGCAGCGTTATCAGTGTAACCAGCTGTTCTGGTCAAAGTTTAAGAAGAAAAAAAGTAGTTGCGATTAAAACAGGTGCAGTTAATTAGTGTAGAAACAACATATAAGGCAGTTTTAACGAGCTTTTAACAAACAGGAAAAAACAGGCTATAATGAAAGCTACGTGATGCTTGATATGCACCTTTATTAACCTTTGCTGCATTTTCAATTCTTCTCTTAGCATTACAACACTTTAACAAGCTAACTGCTAGTAAAAACTGGTAAAAAGTAATATCTGTGCTTCACCACTAGTGACTGGACGTCCTGTGTCCTGCCTCTTGGTTGTGCTACCCAGACCTAAACCACATACAGTATGTCCAGTGGTGCAAATATATTTGAAACTGACTATTTTCTGCTCCAAAGGGAATGCTGGAGAAACGATCCCAGCATGATTCTCCCCAAATTTTCCAAAACGAGTAACAAAGGCCGTCGTGCTGGCTCCACACTAACTCCATCACATGCTGCCTTTTCCCCTCCTCTGTGCTGTGCGTGCATTACTGCTGAAGCATTCAAGTCAATTTCAGTAATGGATTTCTTCCAAAGACATAAGAAAAAAATATTTTATTAATAATGCTGAGATTTGTTAAGGGTTTATTTCAGCCAATTACTCTTGTATTGATCTTCCTTTTGCCTCTCAAAAATAGTAAAGCAGCAACCTTCGCCGCCTCTGTGGACCAGGCTCCTTTGCTGTGGAGTAAAAGGTGAAAGAAAAGCTTTTTAAATCCATTCATATCCCTCCGTTCAATACAAATTAAAGGTTTAGGATTTACCAGCGTATTGCCAATATGATTTAATAAGGTGCCACCGGTTTCCAAGCCGCCTTCTAACGTTTCCTCTTTTATCTACACTTCTCCTGTATTTGTCAGCAGCCAGTAAAGCGGTCGTCTAAGGATTTTATTTAATATATTTGGTGCACAAAAGGTTATTCGTGAAGTAAAAACTGAAGGAGGCAGCCGAACAGTTTTAAATATTGAACTTGACATACCAAAATAACCCTGTATATGGCATCTGGGTTTTTTTGGCTGGGCCAACAAAAAGTTTGCATTCGTATTAGTACTAGTATTACTTATGGCTCAGTCATGCAGCCGTAGAGACTGGTCAGTAAAACCCTGGCAACCACTGGTCGCTAGGGAAAAATCTATATTCCCCAGCTGGTTGGAAGTTTTGGAAAACAAACATCACCAGAAACCTCTTTGGGTTTGCGTAGTTGCTAGCAGGTTGCTGCAATCGCTTATAGTTTGCATGGAAGACACAGATTTGTCTGCAAAAACTCGTTAAGTAGTTGTGAAACTTGAATAAGGGTGCAGAGACTGCTCTTCAAGATTCAAGTTAAACATTTTGAAACATATTCTCTGCTTCTGGTTTGCATCAAATTCTTCACAGTGTTAGCGCGTGTCTTAGCGAGTAGTTGGCAAGTGTGGAGACAAGTTGAAGTTGGAGTCTTCCATACAAAATACAGGCAATTGCGGCAATCTGATAGCAACCAAAACAACCACAAGGTTTTTGATGTAACACCTTCTTTCAACAATTTCATTTAATGACAGCATCTTCGCCGACCAATCATTTTTCTATGTAGTCTCTGACTGGTCTGTGTGACTGGAGGCCTTAGTATGACCAGTAATGTGGGTTTTAAATGTTACTGTTATCACTGAGTCAGTTCAATGTCATGATAGCTTCCATCTATCCAATTTCTGCCACTTATCTGGGTCACAGGAGCAGCAGTCTAATCAGATATGCCCAGACCTCTTTCTCTCCAGCTACCCCCTCCAGCTCTTCTGTAGGACACTGAAGATTTTATGCCTGATAAACCTCACATAGTAGGTGTCCAGGAAGCGCTAGAGGACACTGCCGGATTTTTGGCACTGCACTCACAGCTTTGATCCTGATAAAATCCTAATTTATCTGGACTTTTGTCCTGGCACAGCCATTTATGAGGTTTAGGTGGCACATAGGTTTGGATAGCTTTTTCATCATTTAAAAACTACATTTTGCATTTACTCGGATAATTTTTCTCGAATTTTAATTTTTAGTGAAACAATTATGCAAAAATCTAAGAAATCGCCTTGAGGCGACTTTTGTTGTGATTTGGCGCTATATAAATAAAATTGAATTGAATTGAAATCAGGGAGGAAGTACTTTATATACTTTTTCACAGCACTATAAACATATTTTGCTGGAAGCTGCCTGCTAGAAATCTGAGTAAATCATGTTTCTATGATTGACAGAGGGAAACTTTTACAAATACATGTGCAGCAGCCAAAATAACAGTCACCGGTAACACGTTATATTTGAAATGAACTGCGATAACGGGCCGTTAGACTCGTTGATCTTGCTCTAGCTAACAGCACCGAACGCCAAAAGCGACATCATATCTGCTGGTGCAAGCCACACTTTGGAGGGAGAGGTTTCAACAGTTTGAAGAGATGACACTTTCTTATTTCTTCCCATCTGGTTTTGACTGCTTCTTCAGTGCTGATGCAGAGGTTCTGTCTGAGTGGCGACGGCTATCGTTCAGGAGAATCAGCACTAATATAAATGGCCTAATAGTAACCCACGAGGCACTTTTATTTGAAGAGTTCAGGTGTTTTGTTCAGTATTCAAGCCAAATGTTCTTTTAGCGCCTTCCACCATTGAAGCTTGTGGCGCGTCCTTCCACCAGCAGACTAATACAAGCAAGTTTAACTGCAGTATGGCTCTGATTACACTCCTGTGCATT